TTCACAAGTTTGTATTGCTTAATTGTAAAATTGCAGATACTGAAGCAAAGGCTGCTATTTGGCCGATTCCATCTATATGTTGAAAAGAAGATAATCAAGTTTTCATGTACAAGGTAATTTATGATTGAATAATGATTAATGCTGTAATTGAAAAATGTTTAATTCCCTGAACGTTTCATATCCAAATCCCTGTGCCAAAATATAAATGGTCCAGAGCAAAAATTTTTTCTCATTACCATCCACTTCCTTAGCCCCATCACAAGCACCTTGTGTTTATGTTTGTCTTTTAAAGTCAGGCTTCGGACAAAAAAGAATTTTTGATATGTTGTAGAACTGATTTTCCTAAGACAAAAAAAAGATGTTTGACGTAATACTGGGGAACAGTGAATGAAATACAGATTTTTGAATATTTTACTGGGGACAGAAAAAAGTTGTTTGACGTAAAACTGGGGAACGGTGAATGAAATACAGATTTTTGAATATTTTACTGGGGGAAAAATGGGGCATAACTGCCTTTTTTAACACCTTTTTCCCCCCAGTTTTAAAATCAGTTCTACAACACATCAACAATTTTTTTCCCTCCAGAGTCTAAGTTTAAAAGGTGTTGTCACTTTAAAAGACTGATGTATTCACTAATTGGCAATCCATGGCCCTTGTGCCTAAATAAATAAAGTAAATAAATTTTAACTACTATACCTCATGGTTAAGACCTGCTGCGCCCACTGATCCCACATGGCATTTTGTGCAAATACCTGTATTTGTTTTTTAATGTTTCTTTTTTACACCTTAAATTCTTAGGTCATTGTTAGCATGTCACAAAAATATTACTGGTGCACTGTCATAAATAGCCCCCTGGAAGCCACGGATATTTGATGAATTTTTATTACTTATTTGATAGGCATCGAGTTACTATAATATGAATTCATGTAGGCTATGCTTTCTAATGTTGGAACCAGCTTCCAAAACCAAAACATTTTGAACAAAGCAAGAAACAAAGATAATGCAATGTAACCATCTAATTTATTTTCAAATCCTCATTCTTGAAAGTGAAATTCTATATTTTTGAAATTTTGCATGAAATCTGTCAACCACGTTGTCCTGGTCGAGGTTGCTTCACCTATCACGATGTATTCCAACCATCATGAGGCTATCTAAATGAGCATTTGTCATAACAGAACGCAAATTATTTTTAATTAGGCTCATATTGAATTATTATTATTATTATTGTTATTGTTATTGTGGTTGTTGTTGTGATGAAAAGTTAACACAAACGATATGGTGGCTAAACGAATATTACATGTAAATATTTTTTTTTATTTTTTTTAAATTTTTTATTACGACAAAATTTGTCGTCTTAAGTAAATATAACATGGTCAGAGTGACTTTAATAATAATATTATTATTATTAAAATCATTATCATCATTATTAATATTATTAATAACTATAACATTAATTATAGGTGTAATTTTCCCCTACCTGAATACTCTGTATGTGTGAAAACAACACTGAAAAAAAAATCGCAACTTGCGATTTTTTTTCTATTCCATAACGACAATAACAATTACTATCAACATTGTATTACCCGCTGCTTTACTTGGACTCGAATTCAACCCTGACCATCAGGCGCACTCTCGGTGGTCTACTGAGAGATGATGCCAGGCTAAAGATCTGGAGATTGTGCGTTCGAATCCCACCCGAGTACAAATTGCGATATTTTTTTTCGCAGTTGTTTTCACACGTACTGAATATTCAGTACATTTCCACGTCAGGTAGGGCAAAATTACACCTATACTTGATTCTGCTGACACAACTCCAGTTATTGTCTATCCCATCTAAGTATAAGCAAAGAAAGCAGAATAAACGGGATATAAAAGTATTTTGGAAAATTACAAATAGGTTCCTTGATATCCGGCGTACTTTTGATTCTGTTCCTCATGGATTGTTTTTATTTAAGTTGTCTAATTATTTTTGTATTCGCCACATTCTTGTTTCTTGGATTGGCAATTGGCTCTATGATAGACCTCATGCACTTTATTTAATGGCATCATATGAAGCAAATTACCTATCAAATGCAGTGTCATTCAAGGCACTAAACTTGGATCTATTCTTTATTTTATGTTTTATCAATGATATTGCCAGCAACTTTGGTTGCCCATTTTCCCTTTATGCCGATGAAATCGTTATGTTATTCTAAGGACGTACTTTCGGACCAATTACCGGTACCGTATATTGCCTCACTCCTGGAATCTTGGTCTCACAGCAATGGTTTGTCGTTCGACCGCCCCTATGCAGAATTAAGAATAGGCCTATAGACTTTCGTAGAAATCCATCTAATTTCCCTAACTTTGTCTCCATGGCACAATTGTTGAAGAAGTTCACAGTTTCAAATACTATGGCATTTTAATCTCAGATAACCTAAAAAGGAACTCACAAATTTCTTCCATCTACAAATCTACGATCCAAAAAAAAAAAAAAATCCATTTTAAACTATCCCAAAAATTCTCTTGATTCCGTTATTATGGCTTTTATAAATAAATTATACATAAACCTGCTACTGTACTGTTGTATATATGGTCTCCTTCCTAAATGTGAAATCGCTCAAATTAAACGTCTTGAACTTTACGTTGCTCGACTTCTCTCTGATCACGCTCCATACTCATCTTATCCAACCGCCTTTTCTTATTTTTAAATTATTCCTTTCTTTCAACGACAACAATACTTCCTGCTTAAAGCCCTCTGT